AAGGTTATTCCATTCGGGTTGAAGAATGCTGGGGCAACCTATCAGCGTTCCATGGTAGCTCTATTTGACGACATGATACATCACGAAATAGAGGTCTATATGGACGACATGATAGCCAGATCTCAAACAGAAGAGGAACGTCTTGATCATTTGCAGAAACTATTTGAGAGACCAAATGCACATATGGGGTAAGGTCCGGTAAACTCCTAGGCTTTGTCGTCAGCGGTAAAGGTATCGAAGTGGATCCTGCCAAGGTGAAAGATATACAAGAAATTCCCGCTCCTCGTACTGAGAAGGAAGTCAGAGGATTCTTAGGACAGCTAAACTACATTGCCAGATTCATTTCTCACTTAACGGCTACTTGTGAACCAATCTTCAAATTACTGAAGAAAGATCAAGTAGTCAAATGGAATGATGAATGCCAAACTACCTTCAACAAGATCAAAGAGTACCTGCAAGAGCCTCCTGTTTTAATGCCACCAGTCGAGGGAAGACCCTTGATCATGTATCTAATTGTTTTGGAAAATTCAATGGGGTGTGTGTTGGGGCAGCATGACAAGTCTGGCCGAAAAGAGCATGCTATTTATTATCTGAGAAAAAGTTTACCGACTGTGAAACAATATATTCACTGCTCGAGAAAACTTGCTGCGCTCTGGCATGGGCTGCTCGCTAGCTAAGACAATATATGCTGACCCATACTACCCTATTGATATCCAATATGGATCCAATAAAATACATATTCGAGAAGCCTGCCCTCTCTGGGAGGATAGCGAGATGGAAGATGATCCTGACGAGATATGACATTCAATATACTACCCAAAAAGTAATAAAGGGTAATTTACTAGCCGATCACCTTGATCATCAAGCTGTGGATGACTACTAGTCCATGATGTTTGAATTCCCAAATGAAGACATCATGATGGTAAACAACTATGAAGAACTCATACCATATGACGAACCTGAACAAGGATCCCGATGGACCCTGGTTTTTGATGGGGCGTCCAACTCACTCGGCAATGTCATTGGTGCTGTACTCATATCCCCTAAAGGATGTCACACTCCCTTCACGATAAGACTCTGCTTCAACTTTACAAGTAACATGGAAAAATACGAAGCGTGCATTTTTGGTCTCAAAGCTGCCATAGATTTAGGGATCAAATCCTTACGTGTATTCAGAGATTCAGCCTTGGTCATCAGCCAGATCAAAGGAGAAGGGGACACAAAGCACCCTAACCTTATCCCCTACAAAGAACACGTGTTGCATTAATCCCACATTTTGAGAAGATTACCTTCGAGCATATCCCGAGAGAAGAAAATCAACTAGCGGATGCGCTAGCCACAATGTCATCCATGTTTAAAATCAAATGGGCTAACGAGGCTCCCCAGATCACCATTGAACGGATGGATGAACCAGCTCACTGTCACGAGATCAATACTGAAGAAGTAGTGGACCGGCCTTGGTTCCACGAAGTCAAGAGGTATCTCGAAGCTCAAGAGTATCCGGAAGGAGCTTCAGTCAATGATAAGAAGTTCTTAAGGAGATTCTCTACTAAGTTCTTCCTTAGTAATGGAATTCTCTACAAACGCAACCACGACTGTGTATTACTTTGTTGCGTAGATAAGGTTGAGGCAGAAAAGATCATAGCTGATCTACTTGAAGGCACTTTTGGCACCCATTCCAGTGGGCATACGATGGAAAAGAAGATCCTACGGGCAGGTTATTACTGGTCTACCATGGAAGAAGATTGCTATCAACATTCATGAACCTGTCATAAGTGTTAGATCTATGCTGACAAGGTGCACGTGCCTCCGGTTCCTTTGAATTTCTTGACGGCTCCTTGGCCCTTTGCTATGTGGGGCATCAACATGATTGGGGAAATCAAGCCAACAGCCTTTAATGGACACCGCTTCATCTTGGTGGCCATTTACTATTTCATAAAGTGGGTTGAGGTGGATTCTTTTGCTTCCGTTACCAAGAATTTTGTCGCCCGGTTCATCAAACAGAATCTCATCTGTCGGTACGGTATCCCAGAGAGGATCATCACAGACAATGGTACGAATCTCCACAATACTATGATCACCGCACTATGCGTGCAATTCAAGATCCAACACCACAATTCTTCCCCTTACCAACCAAAGATGAATGGTGCTATCGAAGCTGCAAATAAGAACATAAAAAATATCATACAAAAAATGACAGTAACGTACAAAGACTGGCATGAGATGCTACCATTCGCTATCCACGGTTACTGTACCATGGTGCGCATATCAACCAGGGCAACACCTTACTCTATGGTATACGGCATGGAGGTTGTCTTGCCTATTGAGTTCCAGATCCCTTCTCTGAGAATCATGAAGGATGCAGGGTTGAATGAAAATGACTGGATCCAAACTCGACTTGATCAACTGAACTTGATTGATGAGAAAAGGCTTACTGCTGCCTGTCATGGTAAAATGTATCAAAAACGGATGATCAAGGCTTTCAACAAAAAGGTCAGACGCCAAGTGTATCAAGTAGGGGATTTGGTGATCAAGCGCATCATACTGCCGCAGGGTGATCCCAGGGGTAAATGGACTCCTACATATGAAGGACCGTTTGTGATCAAAAGCATATTCTCTGGTGGATAAATTATCTTAACCATTATGGATGGCGACGACCTACCGTACCCTGTGAATGCGGACATAGTCAAAAGATACTACGCGTAAGAGACCCGCTAGGTTGACACACCTAGGCAAAATAAGGGCATCCCGGCAAACCAAAAAGGTTCGGGCAAAAATTAGGGATAGAACAAAAAAAAATGTACACCCGGCAAGTTGAAAACCCGAAAGGGTGACTTGGGCAAAAAAGGGTATCCCGGTGGACTGAAAACCCGAAAGGCCGGTCCAGGCAAAAGTTAGGGAATTAAAGCGTATGACTCTGTCCCGTTGGATCACCTTGCATACAACCTTTGGCTTCAACTGACAAACTCAACGTGTCTAATCAATCTAATCAACTTCGGACAAGGCAACAAGTGGACAAGACGCTCAGAGACACGAAGGCTATAGTAGAATGGGAACCCCATGGGATTATTGCACATGGCTATCTTTTCTTTATATAAAATTTTCATTTTTTACGACGACATTCCCTTACTAGAATGTTCGTCTCATTGTACAAAAAAGATTTATTCAAGTTAATACAAAGATACCCCTTTGAAAGTGAAAAACTATCTGTTTTTTCTTTATCTCTGTGTTTTGTTTACAAAAGCGTCCAATGATTTATTTTTGAACATATGCATTTGAACGTAACTACTGTTGACAAATGAACAAAAAATAGAAAGAAAATCACTAATGGCTTTAGGAAATAGGATAATATCTTTAGACTATAAAATCCCCCACAGTGTGAAGCTTAATGATATCAAGCTCTCTCACATCCCCGGCAGAACAAAGCTTCCAGTTATCACTCCCCAGTAAAGGTCGCCCAATTTGTCAGGATTCTCCAACAGGATTTCACAAGCCTTACATGGCGTTTCCCTTACAACAAAGTTTATATCTCTAACAAATATAAGCTCATCAACTCATCAACACTTCAAAGCATGAATACTTACACTCCACATCCCTAACAACAGTCAGGGATTCATTTTTCCCTAATCCAACAGTATTACAGCAACATAGATTACATGCTCATACATCGCATCCATACGTCATAAACATCTATGACACAAATGCATACAACATAATTTCATTCATTTGATAGAACATCATTGTACAATGCATTTCATACATCATGACATTGCATACAACTAATATTTCATCTCTTCAGGAAAGATCAGACATCAGATGGCTATCATCAACAATTTACAAAAGGGTCAGAGATTAATACCAGAAACAAGCTAGGACAATTATCTACATGGCCAACTAAAGCAATCCTGCACGGGTTTCTTCTCATTCAGCTCCACTACAAGAAAATTAGTGTTTAATGACACAAAAATTGCGACAGTTATGTGATAACTGTCGTAATTGACATATAGAGACAGTGTTTACGACAGTTGACACCAACCGTCCCTAATATTTATTTTGCGATGGTATAATTAACCATCATAATATTATTATTACGACGGTAAAACAAGCGTCGGCCCCCATTTAACACTTTTAACATTGATTTTTCACCAACAACTAGTCACGACGGTAAAATTAACCGTCCTAAAAGGCATATCACGATGGTAAAGCACCCGTCGCACCCTTAAACCTTTCACGACGGTAAAATTATCCGTCCTAAAATTCATTTCACGACGGTAAAACAGCCGTCGCACCCAAAACCTTTAAAAATTCTCATGGGCACGACGGTAAAACACCCGTCGCCGTAAAAAAGTTAAAAAGCTCTTCACTTTCTACTCCTGCGTTCACTTTTTCTACTCACGAAGAAAATACAAGAATTCTCGACCTAAGGTTCGTATGGGTCTTCCAAAGAAGAACCCTAAAGTTTTGAAACCCGCTTTCACCATTCCTCCCAAACTGTTACAATCCCTTCGTTCGTCGGAAGAAGATGAGACCTCCCGGCGGAAGCAGCAACATTCGTCGGAAACCGAAAGAGTCGGTCTACTTACCACCAACTCCACTAAACAGCCACTGTGACTCTGACGTGAGTTTAGCCAGTAGCCATCCATCCTCCATCGGAATCCATTCTCTCGACGTTTACAAAGACCGTTCGTACCAACAGAACGCAAACGCAACCATCAATTCATTCCTGGCCTCTCAGGATTTGAATGTCTCTTTCAAACCTTTTTCTTCTCCTTCCCCTAAACACATTCACCAAACCCTAATCTTCCTCGTCGGGCTCAATAAATCTGTTCAGTCTTGTCAATGGAATACTGTGCGTGAAAAGGAAAAAACAAATTGGCGCGGATCACGTTGCTGACGCTGTTCTGCTCCTCTTAAATCTCTGCCCTTTCCATCACTCTTTCACAGAGGTTTGTTTGTGAATCGGAGTGCCAAACCAAATCACATTTCGCATCATTCCAACCATGCAAGCAATGGGGTTATCAGTAGCAGTTTCAGTTCCATTTTACCATTCCAGATTATGCATCAATGCCTCTCCTCATCCACCCATTCCCCTCAATTTGAATCATGGCTTTTCCAAATCACTTACATTCAGGGACAGACTAACTCGTGGGAAGAGTAGCTATGTCATTCGTTCCCAAAAGAATCGTGACGATGATGGTGATGTCGATGGATTTTACATGAGGAAAAGCGTTGAGCTTGCCAGAAAGTATTTGGGGTGTACAAGCCCCAATCCTTTAGTTGGATGTGTTATTGTCAAAGATGGTCAAATTGTTGGCCAAGGTTTTCATCCTAAACCTGGTCAACCTCATGCTGAGGTGAGACTTGTTTCACACTCTTTGAATTCAAATCATCATTTTCGTGTCACTGCATTTCTATTTCTGAGATTTTTCAGGTGTTTGCTCTGAGAGATGCTGCTGATTTGGACGAGAATGCAACGACGTATGTCACTTTAGAAACTTGTAATCATTTTGGGAGGACTCCGCCTTGCACTGAAGCTCTCATTAAAGCTAGACTTAAAAAGGTTGTTGTTGGGATGGTGGATCCAAATCCTATCGTGGCTTCCAAAGGGTTAGATAGATTGAGAGGTGCTGGAATTGAAGTTGTTGTTGGTGTTGAGGAAGAATTGTGTAAGGGCCTCAATGAGGGTTATATTCATCACATGTTGACCCAGAAGCCTCTGCTTACTTTGAGGTAATTCATTTTCATCTCTATTTTTACACATATACTCCAACTTGCTTTTCTCTAAACATTCATTTGGAGCTATTTCTGCATTACAGGTATTCTCTTTCTGTCAACGGAAACTTGTTGGACTCACTTGGGAATGGAGTAACTCACTCTGGTGGATACTATTCTAGGCTATTACAAGAATATGATGCAGTTATATTATCCTCTTCTTTATTTCGTGAAACTTTATCGGTCGACTCCGTACCTTCATCTCAAGAACCTGGAGCCAATCAACCCATTCGGTTTATAATGCATAGAGATTCTGGTTCTGGTTCTTCAAATCAAATTCCATTTATAATCGATAACGTTACTGATAAAATGATAATCTTTACAGATTGTATAACAACAGCTCCCGAGGAGACTCAACAAGGAATTAAAACTGTATCTGTGGATCAAATAAATCTTGATGTGATCTTGGATTATTGTAATCGTCAAGGATTGTGCAGTGTTCTGTTAGATATGAGAGGGAATTTCAGTGAATATCAAGAGCTTGTTAAAGAGGGTATTAGGAAGAAGTATATCAATAAATTTGTGACAGAAATTTTGCAATAAACTCAATAAATCTGTTCTCAAATCCCCCGCTGCACCTCATCAATGGCCTTCCATTCTCGCCCTCATTCATTGGCTTGTTCAGTCTTGTCAATTTCATCTCTCTTTTTCTTCTCCCTCCCACACCACCACCCTCCAAACCAACAACATCGTCTTCCAGTATTCTCTCAACGCTTATCTAAATTTCATTAGAGGTGATGATGAAGCCATCTCCGAACTCGACCACGAAATCCGCACCAGGATTCTCCGTGAGAAGTCTAACGCTGACAACACCCTTGCTGCCGCTGAACAAAAGGTCTCTGAATTGGAGGCTCAATTGGAGGGATTGAGGTCTGCTCCTTCTCAGAAGGATTTACTCGACAAAGAGAAGGAAATGATTCAAGGCGATGTCATTAAGTTTCACAAGATTATTGACGAGTTTGGGTTGCGGATTGAGTCGAAAGAGAGGGATTTGGTGGAGAAGGAGAAACAGTTGCAGGCTAAGGTCGTGGAGAGCGACAACATATGTCAAGAGAATAAAATGCTAAAGAAGAAGGTGGAGTCACAGCCTTTCAATACCAGGGACGTTGAGAGGATGAAAAGAGAGTTGCAGGCTGCTGAGAGGGATGCTGGAGAGGCTGAACTTGCTAGGAATGATTGGGAGGAAAAGTGTTGGGAGCTTGGCCGTACTCTCGCAAATAACATCAGAGACTTAGAACCTATCACCAGGGATTGTAACCAAGCCCTTAAGAGGTTCTTTTCTTTTCCTCTTGTATTGTATTCTATTGCACCCCATTTGTTTTTTTAGCATAATTGTATCGACTATTTACATCTAAACTAGATAACTTCTGCGCTGATGGTAATAGGGATCAATTATTAAGCAAACTCTTACTTTCATGTGCTTCTAGGTTGAAGATTGGTAATGACATTCAATATGTGTTGAATCCCAAGGGAACCACGCCTGCTGAGATCATGGGTATTGATTACAAAGTCACGCTGAAGCCTGCACTTAACTCATTTGCAGATGACATCAAGACTACAATGGGATGAAAAAGGCAGCGTCACACAAAACTACAATTCCTTCAGCGTCGTCAATGACCCTAACTCCCTCACCGATTCTCTTCGAGCTCCTCCTTCTGTCTCCGATGTTTGTAATTTTGAAAAGTAATGCTTGTAATTTGCAGGCATATGCTGCTGCCGTACAGTGAATCAAAACTATGCAAATATTCTTTTGATGCTTTTACGTCTCCGTCAGACTTGTGATCACCCACTTCTTGTTAAAGAATACAATTCTGATCCTGTTGGAAAAGATTCTGTTGAAATGGCAAAAAGGCTTCCAAAAGAGATGCTGATAAATCTGTTTAATAGTTTGGAAACAACTGCCACTATATGTTTTGTCTGCAATGTAAGTTAATTCTGATTTGATAATTTCATTATTTGTTTCTTTGTTGCAATTATTCCTTCTAAGAGCGTCATCTGATATAGATCATTTTGATCGTATCTTACCAGTCTTTCTCTTCCTATGGTACATGTTTTGTTTATATGTTTAATAAATAACATTAGTAGGAACACTTCTCTATGGTTTGAAATATGATGAAGTTTGTGAATAAATAACATTAGTAGGAACATTTAATAATTGGGAATATGGCCTCAATACAAAGAACTAGCTTTCTTGTTATTTTCTTTTCTTCTGATACATGATATAGTAGTACATGATAAGCTTGGTAGACTCTGCTGTTAGTAATTGTTTTAATCTATTTAATGACTCAGTTATTTATTTTGCCTTGCCTGTGTTAAATACTTGAGTAGAGGCCAGAGAATAAGCTTGGAGATGATGAAACGTGGGATAGGGCTGAAAGTGCTCTCAAGGAGGCTTTGGATGAGTGTGGCAAAGGGAATGTGTTTGTTAAGGTATGTTATAGGATTTATAGGTTTGATGTGAATTGTGAAATGCTTAAATGGTGATATTCTGTTTTCTTTTTATGTTTGATGTGAATTCTAATGGAAACTTTGCGGTGTTAATGTTATTACAGAACTTAGCGGAATCGATAGATAATGTGGGACTGCATGATTTATTTCAAGAATATGGGAATATTTTGTCTAGCAAAATTGTCATCTCTGAAGATGGGAAGAGCAAAGGGTTTGGTTATATACAGTTTGGTTCAGAGGAGTCTGCAAATGATGCTATCCAGAAAATGAATGGCTCTACTGTGAGAGATAAGCAGATGTATGTGAAATTGTTTTAGAATTTGTTAAAATTTTCCTTCAGTTCCATATGTATGTTTTCTCTTTTGAATTTGTTAATTGCTCTTTTAGTTATCTTAAGATTGGTTTTGATAATCTGATTCCATTTCTTCTCACAGATATGTTGGGAAATTTATCAGAAAAAGTGAGCGCTCTTTGCCTGAACCTGATGCCAAATATACAAACTTGTACGTTAAGAATTTGGACCCAGATATTACCGAAGCACTTCTTAAAGAAAAGTTCTCATCTTTTGGAAAAATTCTTAGCTTGGCTATTGTAAAGGATGAGAAGGGGTTGTCAAAAGGTTTTGGATTTATGAACTATGAAAACCCGGATGATGCAAGACGAGCAACGGAAGCAAGGAATGGATCACAATTTGGTAATTTACTTATCTTTTTAGTACATAGGTCTTTTATGCTCAAAGTTTCACTTTTCTGGATGTTGATTCTCTGTGTATATCTGGTTTTGATTTGTCATAACTAGGTTCAAAGAACCTGTATGTTGCAAGAGCACAAAAAAAGGTTGAACGTGAGAAGATCTTGCATCAGTGGTTTGCAGAAAGATGCATGGAGAAAAACTTGAAATACAAGGTAATTCCATACCCTTTTTCCTACAGTTGACTAATTAATTTCAGCTTTCTTAGTTTGCCACCATTTTAACTTTCAGGGATCAAACATTTATGTGAAGAACATTGATGATAGTGTTAGTGACGAAGAACTAAAGAGTCAGTTTAGTGCTTGTGGCACAATAACTTCTGCAAAAGTTATGCGAGATGACAAAGGAAAAAGCAAAGGCTTTGTGTTTGTCTGTTTCTCTACCCTGGATGAGGCTGTTAAGGCTGTGAACAATTTTCATGGTGAGTAAAGTTTCTTTGAATCTGTAAGCCACTAAGGTGATAGGATTTAATGTTTTGGTCAAGAATCATTTTTTGCATAGATATGTTTTCGTTGTACTATGAAGTTTGAAAAATGTGCTGATCACTATCATGTTTCAATAATACTGCATGTTATGTTATATTTATTGGATTATAACTTGAGAGATTAGATCTATATCACATGCTACTTTCTATGTTCTGAATTTTAATTAAGTTCTGATCTAAAAAATTTACATCACTGTTACTTACTTCCTTTTAAGAAATTTTCTAATCATATTAAAATATTTTTATTCAAGTATCAAATCCATTTAGAACAATATTCTCCAATACTTCTGTTATGTCATTCTTTTTTTTTTTGGATACGCAAATGTTACTTATTGATTATTTAAATTGATGTTATATGCCACAGGACGCATGTTTCACGGAAAACCACTGTATGTTGCTTTTGCTCAGAGGAAAGATGTTAGGCAAAGCCTATTGCAGCTCCAGCATTCGCACTGGTGTTGTTTATCATCACCCTAAGGGTTCTACAACATTTTATCATCATTCATCGGGTTCTATTGTGAGTGACAAATTTGCATAATAACTAGATAAAAGGAGTTCATCATAGGAAATTGAACTCTTAATGCAAATGCAGAATTTTAGTGGAAGACAGGTATATTATTTTGACGCATTTAAAGTTAAATTTTATGAGTATTATTTTAAAGATTATTATTTTAATACCTTTTTTTAGGGATTGGAATCACCCGCTGATGGTAGACGTTCATCTGAGTCTAGCTACCGTATTGGAGATAATAGAACTTCAGGGGGGACAAATTAGACTTTGCTATGATCGAGATAATTAGATTGTGAACTTTCTCATGTATTTTTGGCATAATGATACTTATTATTATAAGATTAGGAATTGATATATTTTGGGTTTTTTGTACTACTTGACATGATTATGGAACTCGCATTTTACATGATTATGGAACACATTTTTTTGGATATTATAATGCTTATTTGATGTTAAATATTTTTTATTGAAATTATTTTTACTATATTACAAAGTGATAGAAAATAAAACAAAAAATAATACTATAAATAAATATATTAAAGAAGAAATAATTTAAAGAAAAAAATAACACAAAAAAAAACTATATTTAAAATTTTTTACATAGATAATAATTTAAATAAAAAATATATATAATAAAAAAATAAAAAAATAATCAAGACATAAACAAAAGTCATGGCGAAAGTACCGAACCGTCGTAATCAACAATTAAAAATAATCAACAAAAGTCATGACGGTATCGAACCGTCGCCATAAACAATTTAATCAATTTCAAAAGATATTCACAACAGTATCGAACCGTCGCCATCAATAATTAAAAGAAACTCAAAAGATAGTCACGACGGTATCAAACAGTCACCAATACTTGATTATGTCAGCTCCAAACCCGTCGTAAACTTGAACGACAATTTTTGTAACCGTCGCAAAATAGGTTGGGGACACACACTTCTGCGACGGTAAAGCAACCGTCGTGGAAAGCAAATTGCGACGGTTTTAACCGTCGTAATCTACAAAAATACATGTCGCAATCTGCCCGAAAGGGTATCCCGGTGGACTGAAAACCCGAAAGGCCGGTCCAGGCAAAAGTTAGGGAATTAAAGCGTATGACTCTGTCCCGTTGGATCACCTTGCATACAACCTTTGGCTTCGACTGACAAACTCAACGTGTCTAATCAATCTAATCAACTTCGGACAAGGCAGCAAGTGGACAAGACGCTCAGAGACACAAAGGCTATAGTAGAATGGGAACCCCATGGGATTATTGCACATGGCTATCTTTTCTTTATATAAAATTTTCATTTTTTACGACGACATTCCCTTACTAGAATGTTCGTCTCATTGTACAAAAAAGATTTATTCAAGTTAATACAAAGATACCCCTTTGAAAGTGAAAAGCTATCTGTTTTTTCTATATCTCTGTGTTTTGTTTACAAAAGCGTCCAATGATTTATTTTTGAACATATGCATTTGAACGTAACTACTGTTGACAAATGAACAAAAAATAGAAAGAAAATCACTAATGGCTTTAGGAAATAGGATAATATCTTTAGACTATAAAATCCCCCACAGTGTGAAGCTTAATGATATCAAGCTCTCTCACATCCCCGGCAGAACAAAGCTTCCAGTTATCACTCCCCAGTAAAGGTCGCCCAATTTCTCAAGATTCTCCAACAGGATTTCACAAGCCTTACATGGCGTTTCCCTTACAACAAAGTTTATATCTCTAACAAATATAAGCTCATCAACTCATCAACACTTCAAAGCATGAATACTTACACTCCACATCCCTAACAACAGTCAGGGATTCATTTTTCCCTAATCCAACAGTATTACAGCAACATAGATTACATGCTCATACATCGCATCCATACGTCATAAACATCTATGACACAAATGCATACAACATAATTTCATTCATTTGATAGAACATCATTGTATAATGCATTTCATACATCATGACATTGCATACAACTAATATTTCATCTCTTCAGGAAAGATCAGACATCAGATGGCTATCATCAACAATTTACAAAAGGGTCAGAGATTAATACCTGAAACAAGCTAGGACAATTATCTACATGGCCAACTAAAGCAATCCTGCACGGGTTTCTTCTCATTCAGCTCTCAGATACAATTCATATACGCTCCAAACATGGACGCCATTCTGATACTTATTCAGATTCAATTCTCAGATATAGTTCAGCTACGCTCTAGACAAGGATGCCATTCTGATACTCATTCAGATTCAGTTCTCAAATACAGTTCAGATACACTCTAGACACGGACGCCATTCTGATACTCATTCAGATTCAGTTCTCAGATACAGTTTAGATACGCTCCAGACAGGAACGCCATCCTGATACTCATTCAGATTCAGCATTCAGATACAGTTCAGATACACTCTAGATACGGATGCCATCCTGATACTCATTCAGATTAAGCTTTTAGATACAGTTCAGATACGCTCCAGATACGGATGCCATCTTGATACTCATTCAGATTCAGCTTTCAGATACAGTTCAGATAGCTCCAGACACGGACACTATTCTGATACTCATTCAAATTAAAATTTAATAAATGAGTCAAATACAATCCATTTATGGATATTATTCTAGTACTCAACCCAATACATCCAATATTCCAGTGTAAATCAACCAGAGATTTATTCTGACACTTCTTCTACTCCTACCAGCAATCATTTTGGATGGCATCTACAAGCCCATATCCAACAACTTTCCATTTCCTCTCCAAATGTAATCTTTAATCCCATTCCCTACACCATCAACCATCACATCCTCGAGTGCAAATTCCCGGGCACTCTAGTGTTCAATCATCTTCCACCTTCAAGTCACGAATGACAAACCCACCAATCTAACTCTTCAGGTTTAAGAAGATTGAACAGGGGCAGCTGTTGTACCCCAAAATTTTCCCTCTCATTTATCAAATATTTTCTCACAAGATCTCATTTGGTTCAAGACTGCACAAGGTTTGATCAACTCAAAACACCTCCTTAAGCATTGATGACTAAAATTAGGGTTTGAGATTGCACAAGGATATTTGAACTTCCAATTCCTCATATTACTTTTATGGATCATTATGGACCCCCAATATTACTCATGTCAAGATTCAAGCCTTGAATCACATTTTTGCTCTGTCAATTGAGCAGTTGACCTAAAAATTAGCTGTAATGAGGAAAAAGTCAAATGTGGCCAATTTACAGTCAAACTTCATGATTTGTGAACCATATCAACATTATAAACTCATATGTATCATTTGATCAAGTTTGGACCATAATTCCTCAAGAAATTTGATCAAATCATCAAAAGGGCAAAATGGTCAAAATTAGGGTTTTAATTGAGAAAGGGCAATTTCTGATTTTTGACCTAGAAAATGGTTAATTTGTTTGAGGCACGATCTCAAGAGTTCAATTACACCATTTTGACCTAATGGCATGACCCAAAACATTTCTCAAGATCAATTGGATTGATAGTGAATTTTCAGTCAACTGATCAAAAGTCAACTGTACACTGAAAAGTCAAACTTTGACTTTTTGGTCAAAATCAAGTGTCAAAGATCACAATTCATAAAAACATGTCAAACTATGAAACTTATTCATCAAGTAATCAAAAAGTCAAGATTTCATTTTGAAAAGTCAAAGTTTTCTAACTTAGAAAATTTTTTAAGTGTTTAAAAACTTCATGTTTTTTCACAACTTTGAGCAAATTTTTCACCATGATGCAAGATGATTCAAATAAAATTTCAACATTAAAGTTGTAGATATCCATGAGATATACAACATTTTTTTACACAACTTCTTCTAAAAATTCTTGGATCTCAAGTTATTAATTCATAAAGTCATGGTCTTGAAATTAAACACTTAGTTAAATTTTGCCCTAGTTTAGGCAGGATTTTGACCTAACTTCATGGAACTTTTACATATATTTCCAAGGGGAATTTTCAAAAGTGATTCAAATAGGGTTTGTAGAGCACATTACAAGCTTTCTAAAGTGTCCAAGAACCCTTTGAGATCATTCTTGAAAATGGAGAACCAAAGAGAGGAAGTTGGGGTTTCAAACTAAAATTATAGGTCATTTTGTGATGAACAAAGATTCAAATTTCAAACCTATGTTGCATAATATCTACTTTATTGGCCTCAAACTTGTCAGGAACTCCATAATTAATTGCTTGCATAGCTGTTAGAGGTCTCAACTCAAGCGTTCAATGCAATGCCACGCTTTATATCCAATTTAGGAAGAAAGTGCACAATGCCATTTTAAAAAAGTAGCTTTATGCACAAAACATGCTCTTGAGCCTTGCATTGGTTTTCTTCTGATGATACACGTCCCATAACTCAAGAGAAGTTTGTCTCAAGCCTTACAATCACTCAGCCCATGCTTGTACTTCATCTTGGAACCATGCCCCCCACTTTTCTTCAAAATCAAGTAACATAGCAATAAGTCTAGAACTTGTACTTCTGACCCTCCCAAGCACAAACACCTTATCATTACTTATGTACAAGTCCTTGGCAACAAAACACACGCATGCTTAAGCCCTAAAAACACCAAGAACTCAGAACTGCATCACATACCTCCATTTTTGCATAACCTGACCAAAAGTTTGAAACTCACATCTCCCTCGTGCGTTTTCAAGCCTTTTGGTTCCTAAAGTTTCTAAACATCATTTAGAACTCATCCCACACCCTGTTACAAGGCTGTAACACTATTAACACCATCATCCATTTTCAAAAACAGAGCGTTGCACTTGGACTTCTCCAGAACTCCTCAAGCACTTTCAGCTCAAGCTAAGCATCACATTAGCTTCCTGGGAACTTGAGGAAGCTAATCCAATCATTGGAACTCACTAAAAGCTGCTCAAACTCAAAAACACGATACCCTCTTGCAAGGTGAGTTTTCTGACTTTTGAACTCTTCATACAGACATCACTAATAGTTCATTTTTGAATAAGAAAT